TTTCATTGAGTTAAAATCATGACTGATTCAAAAGATGGATTAAAAGCTATAGAATTATTAAGACAAGTATACAAATGACAATACCGACAAGATTATCACTAGGGGAAAATGTATACAAGCTGTAACACTGTAATTTTTGACTTTAGTAAAATCTTAAGATATTTTGTCATAAGTAGTAGCAGAAGTACCACCAAGGATTTTTATAGGCATAAGAGCAGTTAATTTTCAAATATGTAATAGAGGAGAATATAATGCACACCCTATTCTTACTTGAGGTTGAGGATTAGCTATTTTTCATCTACCCAAATTATAGGATAAACAGTATAAAACTTATCTTTCATAGGAACAATATTTTAGATTACACTTTGAGGCAAACTCCTTATAATCCTTACATTCTTCTAATCAACTTCCTAAAGACTACTTGTTGGAACAATCCAGTTTTTCTGTCTTATAGGATAACAAGGAGGAACTCCAAAGCACATAATATCAGAAGATAGAAATTGAGTATAATAAAACAGTTTTTTCTTCATAAGGAAAAATTTGGCTGACTGATTTCACAAGGGGGTGACAATACATTCATAGGAAAACTAACAACCATAGTAGTAGGCTAAGTATAAGGATAAAGGAGAGGGGGATTAAGTACATGAGATTACCTCAGTTTCAGTAGCAGAAATGCAATTTTGGCAGCAGAAATGCAAGTGATCAGAGCACACATGGCTAAGAACAGATTTTCCAGAGATTGATTCACCTTAGATCAACAGAGCTTTAAGCTGATTCAAGTAGAAGATGATAACTTTCTCTGATAATGCCGAGGTTTACTGGTCAGCGATAATGCCACAAAACAGATCCATCAGCCGAGATGCCAGAAAGTGACTTCATTTCCTCTAGAAACAAAACCATATCTTTCGCCTGGTGTTAATAGCTATCCTGGTACACAATCTTGGAATCTTTCTGGCTAAATCCAGACATTCACTGAGTCAGGCAAGAGTGATGATTTCTGTAAAAATACTTTTCTTCAGGAGATAAAAACTTTACCTTGGAGCGAATTTAAAAAATTAATAATAAAATATAAAAATGTTATAAAAAACAAAATCTAATCAAATTAATAATAAACAAAATTAAATAGAATCTCAGATCAATAACCTCAAATCCAAGAGCTCATAGAAGTCCTAAACAAAATTCTAAATTAATAATCAACAAAATCTTATATATATAACTGATATATAAATGAATAGTAACTGATTAATAAAATCTATTAAAATCTTATATAA